GCACATTTGAAGATATTTCGACATGAATGTCTCACTTTTGATCTTCTCGTTGTTTGATTACCATCATATAACTAGATCAAATATTCTACCAAGTGGCCTTCACGTCTAGTATAAGAATAAGATCTCTCTTCCAGTCTTTCAAGGACGTGATTTCAATGGTGTGCAATATATTTGTTAGAAGTCATGAACATCATCACAGCTAAGACAAAAGTAGCATGGCATAGGCACATACCGCAGAAAAGCTCTCCAGATTTAGTACGAATAATATCAGATTAAGTTGATGCTAATGAACAGAATCCAAAGAGCGCCTGTTGCACCTGCTCGTTTGCTGCATGGAGGTGAAAAATATGCAGCTAGACGTTACAACTTACTTTCTTTCCTGATCATTCATGTAAACGATATATCTTTGATTGAATCGCTGTTTTGATTTTAAGTCTACTCTATTATCGATATACTGTTGGATGCATAAAATCTGATTCCCACTTCTTTTCCTTCCAAATTTCTTTGTACCTGAACAACTTTCAGAGCTCCTTTATGTACACTTGCATGATGATTAGCTACTTTAAGATTACTAGCATGTGGCCTTGGCCCAAGCTGCTGGTTTCACTTTTGGATCCATAATCAGTTTGTTGGTGGAATTAGAGGGTCCAAATGTCGGGAACGAGTGAATGAAGGCTGGGACCAACACATAATCTTCCAATAGTAGAACATAATCTCCAGCTTCTGCAACTCCTGCTATGTGCATTTCCGTTGACCAAGAATGACAGACAGACTGATGAAGGCTTCGTAATCCTGGTGGCCAAAACATAACATTTTTCAAGTCTCGTAATGCCTACAATGTGCTCAAGACCCAGAACAATGCGGAGAAAAATAAGAGTTATATTGCAGAACAAATGGTTAGCCGGTCATATCTGTACTGTCCTGTGATCAAAACAAGAACTCAAGGCAGAACTGACCACGGTCTTGTGATCTCCGTGAATTGTTGGAGTGCACATCGTAAGTTAATTCCATCATACTAGAGAAGTTCCGACTGATACGAGAGCCAGGCTAAATGATAGAGATCAAAGCTTAAAGGTGACAATTTGATTACTCAAATCAAATTCCGACTCTCTCCCATCAAAAGAATCTAAAACTTCTCATATCTGCACACAGTCTCGCTGCATGTAAGTTGCTTAAAAATGTCGAGACTTACCTTTGATACTCTCATAGCAGTGAACCAGAAACATTGGATCCGATATAATTATTTTAAGTGATTTGCTTCATCATACCAAAGCCAAAGCAATAACATAGTTTATGTGTATTCTGAGTGGAACACGATCCGGTTAACTTTTTCATGTTTAGACAGGACTTTGTAACTGTCGCTGGTTAAGATAAAGTGTCATCTTGTATATGACTTACTTTCAAGATTTGTGACCTGTTACAGGAGGCGAATTCAACATTTCAGTCACCACCTCTTCTGCAATATAGACAACCGAAGGAATCTGATGATAAAAGTGTGTAACCTGTTTCATACTTGGCTGCCTTCTCAAGCTTCGAAATTTACTGACCACCGTCATTATCTGTACAGTCTCGATTAGTGACAAAACTGCAGGACTTTGGTGTTTGACCATGCTTGTAGCAAATCGAGGAGTACTTGGTTGTGCTGCACGGCACATGACATCAACTCTTCTCGACAAAAGATCTGAATGAGTTGACATTGACAGATCTTTCGTACTCTTGTTGTTCCATCATGGCAACATGATTGCGTTCGAGCTTGCAACACATTGAGTTCACGGAGCTATTTCCGCAAATCTTCATTCCTGGATGGCCTGACAGATACAAGAAGCTTTTGATAATTTCGAGACAATAGGCCCAACGATGAAAAATCATTGATCCACAGAATCAGATTAGGCGTTCTGTGCCTAGAAATCCACGACAGATCAACGTAAAACATTGTCTAATGAACGAACTGACTGCATCACAGTTTACGACTTTCTAGAGGAAGAACAACGGGAACTATTGCTGTATGATAAAACTCCGAACCTCAATAGACAGAGTTCAAGTTACAGTTACGATGAGGAAGGGGATATTTACCTATTCTAATTGTAAAGCTAATACTAAATTCAATTAAGACGTCCCTACGTAGCTGCAAGCTCAAAGGCAATTGTAAGAAACAATGTTACGGAGCAATTCTCAAAACTTCCCGCGTATGCGATTTCCGTGGGTAGCTCAGATTGAGCACTATTCCACCCAATCTGAAACTCTGCACGTAGATGGAATTAGACAGCAGTGTACAAAAAGCTCCTGAAGCATTCAAGGAAGTGTTGATGACGAGACGAGAAGTGCCCCTCGTGAACTTTTTCACATATTGAGAACAAGATGCCGAGCTGTTCGAGTGACCATTCTGATTGTTGCTCCAGATAATGGAATTCGGAAAGATGCTGAGGCAGTCAGCTGTTAACACAAAAGCGCCGTCGGCTTCCGCAGCGCAGGAGATGTCAGGGCGAGATTCCCATCTTCGCATTTTACCTCCTCACCAACCACGTGGAAAGCGAACTGTTCCGTGCCTCTACTCGTCCCAACTCCGTCGTCATGGAGTCTCAATCCACAGCAAGTCAACTTGGCTCGAACCAGTAGCTCTGCCGGTCAACTAACCCACTCACTTGCTCACTCACCTCCTCTCCACAGCCTTCTACGGCCCTCGTTAAGTGCAGCCTTTTATTCTGCAGATCCTCCAAATTTGCAAGACCCCATTCACTAGGCTCCTCATGCAATTATCTTGCTTTGCAGAACGAGAACTTCCAACCAGGCAAAGTCCGATTCCTTCGTCTATCAAAATCTGATCAGCAGCATGGACGACACAAATCAAGTTCTTCGACATTGATGTGAAATGTTGACTGAAATGTGAGAATTTGCAGACCATGAAATGTTGCCGAATTTATTGCTTCTCTTGAGTCCAAACCATGCTCTTATAAAGAGTACGCATTCATGCAGAAAATCAAGCGAAATGATTAACGACTACGACTGGAATCTGGACCTTTAGCTGGAATCATTACTGCAGGTGACGTGGGAATCATTACACGATCCTCGATAACTGTAACATTGTACAAGTACAGGTCATGCTTAGGACTACACTCTACTCATACGATGTCACGTATGAAGTAAAAATACGGTGACAACATGCAGACGAGATTACACATACGAATCTACGAATCAGAGCACAATTCAGACTTAAACGTAATTGTTAACCAGCCACAGTTCCAATTGGCGTTGGATAATATCTGGCGTGTTCGAAATACAGGCAAATTTAATAGCTTTGCTGTTCAACAATTTTTATCAAAGTGGATTGCAAAACTTTGTCAACTGTTGATTAAGAGTAAGGTGTCTATGGTTTAGTATATATTATACCTCACTCTGGCCAGTTTTGGGGCATAAGCAGTTACAGCTAATTTATATTTCCTTTTCATAATGTCATATTTCTGGTTTCAGCTCTTGACCAAAGAGAGAGTCACTTATGCTCAACCCGAAATTCGCCCTAAGGGTTCAGGGATGATTATGGACCAAGCAAGAATACATATTTGTGAAATATGGTTTTAAGCTTTTTTTTTGAAAGGATAAGAATTCGTAATAAGTATGAATAAAATATATTTCTTTGAAAGAACACGATTTGCAAGTGAGAAATTGAGTCTACAAAGATCTTAATTACATTTTTTCCTGTTCTCTGAGCGCGTCTCGGGCGTAGAGCGGGAGCCTTACGGTCCAATTCAAGAGGATGAATGGATTGTCAGAATTTTGTAATTCTGCGCATCCTGTAACCCACATGATTATATGAAAGATATATTGAAAACTTAAGACAATGTAAGGGTATAATGTAATCTAAGATGTATTGTGGGGTCGCAAAAGCTTATGGACATGTATATTTTGTAATTCTTGAAGAACTATGCCAACCTCGTTAAAAGCATAAAATTGTTCCATACATCGTGATTGTAAGATACACTTGAAGATAAATGCACATCCTTATTTTTAGATAGAAAAAAGCGTTCAGGTTACAAGGTCTTGATGGAATTTGAGAATTTACAAGGTTTTGATGGACCTACAAAATAAATAGAGTTTTGATTTAAAGCCTAAATCGGTATAAACGTGATAGTGGAACAGAGTTATTACTTTAAGCCTTCTGAGATTATTTTAATATTGTGAATATGTTTAAAATAAAAATGCATCACTGTGAAATAGCAAATCATTGTCGTAAAACATGTGTATGTGTGCCAATGAAGCCACTGTGTGATATGGCAGTTTCGAACCAAATGATACAGAGTTACTCGGATTTCTACCTAGATGTTTATTACTGAGTTTACCTCACTATACAAATTATGGTACATGGACAGTTCCCCTAACTTTCCTCCCACTGTCGAGTATTAAAATACGGTTTCTTGTAAGCCTTTCTTTAATATGTAGATAATACAGAAGTAGTTTTTTAATTGGTCTATTGTCCAGCCCTGTAGGGACCTTCCTCAGTACGTCCGAGCTGATATGAACGGGCTTAATTCTCCTGGGTTTGACTCATAATTAAGTGGACTGCTTAATCCATCATTTGCAGCACTCGAAAGCGAGAGTGTAAGCGTGAGAGCCACTTGCAGTACAGCTGTCCGCTCCACGCAAGAGGATCCGAGGTCTCTGCTGCTGTACCCAGATCCTGATGCCGATCCTGAACGGCGTCACGGAATCGCGATCCCAGCTCCCTCGCAAAGGTTCACATTCACAGCCTCGGACTGATCCTGTGAAGTTCAGTCAACAGCAGCAGTGGACTTGTTGACTGGATCTCGTCCCACGATCCAGGAGCCGCAACGAGCTACTGGGCTGAGCTGACTGAGCGGATCTGATCTGAGATGAGTTGATCGATCTGCTCTGAGTTTTCAATCGGTTGCTGTACGTCCGGAACATACGTCCATGCACACAGCAGCAGCTCAGTACTGCTGCCAGGCTTCTCGCCTATAAAACCCAGGGTCCTCCACTGCTCCTTTACCGGAGTCACCCCTCCATAAGCCATAATAATTACGGTCCCATGACTGTTGGGACTCGCGAGAGAAATTGGCTCCAAGGCTCACACGCACAAGCGTGCCAAGTCTGGAGACTTGAGGTTCGATGAGCGCTTCGATCTAGTAGTGCTCATGTGGTGCTCTCTGTGCATCGCCACCTCGTCTCCAGCATCCCGGACTTTTGAGCCTCGAGCATCTCAGTCTCTCGAACGCTCGACTCCGCTATATAAACCTCTCTGATGCGCCCGGAGTCGTGGTCTGTGCGAGGAATTTTCTCTCGTTCGAATTGCTTGCGAAGCCGAGATTTGCTCGTCTGCTCCGAGCACTACGACATCCGCTCGCCTTCGTGTTGCAGGGGCTCGGTCTGTTCTGTTCCAGCTCGAAGGGTCTTGCCGACGTCTCAGTGTTGTGAGTCAAGATGGTGGAGGTGTTCAGTGTGCCGGCGTTCTTCATTCTCTTTCGAGAGACATTGGAGGCTTCCATCATACTCTCAGTGATGCTCTCTCTGCTGAACAAAGTGGTTCCAGATCGAGCCATGCGGTGGAAGATGCAGAAACAGGTGTGGATGGGAGTGGTGGTGGGAGTGGTAGTGTCGATGGTGGCCGCCGCCGTGTTCCTGTCGTTGTACTACACGGTGGCGAAGAATGCCTGGGATAGCAGTGAAGCTCTGTGGGAAGGCATTCTGAGTCTCGTGGCGGTCGTGCTCATCACGATCATGGCGTTCTCTTTGATCAGAGTGGACACTTGGCGGGCCAAATGGGAGAAGAAGCTCACGAAGGTGACCATCGAGAGTGTGGAGAATTTCGGCAAGTTCCAGAGCACGAAGAGCAAATACGCCTTCTTCCTCATGCCTTTCACCATCGTCATCCGCGAGGGCGTCGAGGCTGTCATCTTCCTCGGAGGCATTGGACTCGAAGGGTCCGGCACAGCGTACCCTCTGGCGGCCATCACCGGAGCAATGTGCGGCATCTCCGTGGGCATTCTGCTGTACAAGGGTGGCAACCATGTGGCATTCAGGTGGTTCCTCGGAGCATCCACGGTGCTGCTGCTCGTCATTGCGGCCGGACTCTTCTCAGGCTCGGTGCACGAGTTCGAGGAGTACACGGGCAACGAGCACCTCATCTGGAAGCTCCACTGCTGCCACCACGACGGAAACGGAATATGGAAGCTCCTAAGCGCCGTGGTCGGCTGGCGCGACGAGGCCTCAGTCGGCACTCTCACCTCCTACTTCGCATTCTGGGCCTTCGTCCTCGTCTGCTTTCTTGTCCTCAGAATAAAATGGAAACGGGACGCTGAGCGAGACGCCGCTGCTGAGAAGGCTGCGGAGATGGTGAACAGCCACGCCTCCGCTGTGCCAGTATAAGGAAGAATGCCCGTGCTGCTCGTTTTACCTCGGCGCCATTGAAGCCCTTCTGCGTGGAACGTTTTGTGTGGGATCTTTCAGACTGATTGTTGGACGCTACCTTCTGTCGGTCTGTGACAGTCGAGCTGTATTTGGACGAGATTTTCTACCGAGTGTTACTGGTGCTCCATAATGTTGCGGTGAAAACTTCGTCTGAAATCTGTTGCATGGCGACATGAGTCCCTCTGAAGTTTCTGTCGGACCTGACGTTGCAGTGATCACTCACTTCCTGCGTCAACGACGTGCTCAGATCGTCCGATCCCAGCTGAAAGGACGAGGGAGTCCCGCAAATCGAGCAAATTCTACCGCAACGTAGCCTCGAGACGACATCAAGAGGGGACTTGGACCTTTAGATGAATCTCAATTTGTACATTGGAAGTTTACAATTTGTAGCAAATGTGTCGACTAAGTTTTCCTTGGCTCGCGAGGGTTAGAGAGGAACGTCTGTAGGTCATGTCTTGGGTCGCCGTCTCACGGAAGGGATGCAAGGAAACGGGAGCTTGATCCCTCTTCTTGGCATGGCCCGAGATTGTGCTCAATGTTGTTCAGATATTAGCATGATATATACAAGGAAGCCGTGATATCAGAAACTCTGCTTCTACCTTGACCCTAGTGCCCTCTGTATAGTCTGCGAATGCGGAATACGAGTTCCTATGTTTTTGCCAACGACGCCAATTCGGAGAACTCAGTGTGATTTCTGTGACTCTGAAGGTTCCAATGTCAGTACCGGAACACCCAAATGGTTGGAGTCTGTCCTGCTTTCGTCCTCTTCGTGATTGACCTGTAAGCCCCTGCAAGCTGCTGTCTGAGTTCATTCTGGATACGCAGAGTGAGAATTCGAGTGGATTAATTAATTCAAAAAGCTTCATATCTGAAGAACACTGACACACCATATTCTCCGTGGCTACTGCCGATTAGAATCCACTCGATTTGCTTTCGAATCCGATTTCAGTGAATTCATTCAATCTGCTTAGGAGGTCGAGCTCAAGAATTCATGTAAGACATCGATGGCGAGTTCACGTGAAGCTGTGGAATGTTAAATAGCATCGTTCTGAAACGCAGTGACTGGTGAAGCCCTTAACGTACAACTGGAATGTGGCTACGTGGAAGATCAATGTCAGAAGGTGATGTTTATTGGAATTCGACATTTTCTGAAACTTTGCAATACAAGAGAAGACATGTACAGCTTACAGAACAGGCATGCTGCAAGTAAAATTGATAGCTATGCTTGCCTCAAAATTTCCGAAGCCGACCAAGAATCGGAAACATGCACAAATACTCGCCCCGAGTCATCGTTCATGAAACTTCAAAGTCGCTGAGAAAGACCGCGTTCTCAATGTCTAGTTAACGTGAAAGAAATTTCGTACCAAATGCCCGACTGCGTGGACTCCGAGTACTCAGTACTGTACTGGGAGATCATTTCATTCTGAAGGTGTGGGATGTCTGTACATGTAAACCTCCTGCTGCACGGCACACGAAGGAGGAAACGGTTGCTTCACTCGTTCGTGTGCTAACGGATCGTAAGACCAGATGAGGTCCGAGGAAACGGTCCGTTTCCCCCCTTCGTGTGTTTACGGACCGTGAGTTCTGAATTGTTAGTAGAAAGCAGAAAGTTGTTGTAGTTCGTGCAGTTACCGTTATGACGGCGAAATGACGAAAGGATTGTAATACTGTACCACAACAAGTATAGTAAAATGAGAAACCAAATTGGTGAAAAGGGGCCAGGCACACCTCCTAAAATCTGGCGTTTCTTTTTTAGACGATAGAATTTATCGGGCGAGAAATACTTTGGCCAAAATTTCCTACATTATATGGAATTTGGCTATTGAACTCCAGAGGAGTGAGTAAGGGTAAGAATGCCTACCCAAACAACCCGGATGAATGCGCTTGAGTTTGTGAACAGCAAACCTCAGTCTGCTTCTAAGTTGACAGTAAGTTCGAATAGGTATCCAATTTCTTGCTTACTCGAAAGCGGAGAGCAAGTTCTTCGAGTTTGTGAAAATGAATTGCCAACCTCAATGTGCTTCTAAGTTGACAGTAAGTTGCGAAGAGGTGCTCAAATTATTGATTGTACTAAGTCAGCATTGGAGAGCAACCTAAAGTGAACAAGTAAGAAAAATATATTTTGCTTACCATTTTTTTTATTCATTTCTTAATTTTCATTTCATATCTGTAGCATGTTTATTTTGATCATTGTGATTGTTTTCTTGGTTAGATTAGAAATATCAAATACATTTCATATTTTTCTTTCATATCAATTCTGTAGCATGATTATTTTGATCAATGTGAATATTTTTTGGTTAAATAGAAGTATCAAGTAAATTTCATATTTTTCTGTAACATATTTATTTTGACCAATGTGAATGTTTTCTTGGTTAGATTAGAAACATCAAGTACATTTTATATTTTTCTTTCACACCATTTCTGTAGCATATTTATTTTGATCATTGTGGGTATTATTATTTTTAATTAAAAGTATCAAGTACATTTCATATTTTTTTTCATATTGTTTCTATAGCATGTTTGTTTTGATCATTGTGAGTATTTTATTTTTATTAAAAATATCAAATAAATTTAATATTATTTCTATAATATGTTTGTTTTGATCATTGTGAATATTTTCTTGTTATATTAAAAGTATCAAGTATATTTTATATTGTTTCTATAACATGGTTGTTTTGATCATTGTGGTTATTTTTTTTAGATTAAAAATATCAAATACATTCAATATTATTTTTATAATATGTTTGTTTTGATCATTATGAATATTTTCTTGTTAGATTAAAAATATCAAGTATATTTCACATTTTTCTTTCTTATTATTTCTATAGCATATTTGTTTTGATCATTGTGAATTTTTCCTTGGCTAAATTATAAGGGGCTAGGTACATTTCATATATTTTTTCATTCATTCAACGTTTCCACATGACGTAGGTTGAAAGCCACTTCTTGGTCATCAAATGGAAGAAACATGACTCCTCTTTACAAACCTTTCCTTGGCGGGTTCTATTCATGTTGACTATCGGCATTCAATTCATAACGACTATCGTCAAATCATTGCACGACAAATAGTGAAATGACAGTGCTCATGCCATAAATGATAGAATTAAGAAAAAACTTTGCCAAAATTACCTTAGTTCCAGCAAACTTGGCATTGGCCAGAATTTAGGAAGTTTGGGCTGGAGTTAATATTATGATACAAGTTTACGCAACTTTAAGATATGTGTTTTAGTAGATGTATCTGCAAAATTACTTGACTATATTTTGTAGTAAGCTAGCATGATCCTTTTCTTTTGGAATGCACCACTCATATGATTCGGCGAGATCTTGATGTGAACTATCATGAGCACTTTTGTGCTAATAGCTCAGTATAGCTTCAAAGAGGGCGTGAAAATTGTCCCTATATTTATATAGTTTGTGATTTTAGCGTCTTTCACTCCACTTTTATTCCTTGAATTTCTTGTCACTTGTACTACGATAAAATGGTAGTTTATAACAGACTAAACAAATTTACCAATCATAAACCATTTAAATCCATGCAAAGTAACTTCATTTGAGTTATTCATACTCTTAGGACATAAGAATCATCACATGCTAATCTAGTCGAATTTAGATCTACTTCTTACCTTTTTGTCACATGTGATATCACTTTGACACATAAATAATGTAGACAATGAAAATAAAAAAAATCATGTGAAATCCAAATACCATCATAATGGATGTGTATTCAAAAAATATAATGCAGAGTCAAAATAAAATACATCTTGACAAAGAAAACTTAAATCTCATTTTTATTTGATATGAAAAAATCAAACTTAGTGATTATATAGTATGTTGTGAATTTCAACTGTTCATATTTATTGTTGGTATTCTAGTCTGATCTATGAAAAAATATCAAAATAAAAAGATCTCATTTTGTAGAACTAAGGAAAAAATTACTTTTAAATTTTAAATTTTAAACTTTTAAATTTCTTTTTTTGCAATTCCATTTCTTATTTTGCTTAGTGTCATCATCGCATTCACCTTAAAAGCTTGAATCCATATTGTTCATATACATATTTATTCACTACTACGAAATCAGCAAGTTGGAGACAAGAACAAATAAACTATTTCTTTTTATACAGCTGATAGATAAAAATCGTTATCTTTTGCATATCAATTTCACAGATAAATATCATATTAATCTACCTCATTGAATCTAAATTTACATAAGTATAGTATGTAAAAATTATATTTCAATATCTATGAATATATTTCAAATTATAGAATGATTTGTATCAATATATAATATTTTTTTTCTTATTAGATCTAACGAAGACTGGATTATTTGTAATTATTTCTTTAAAAAAATTTTTTTGTTTCATTTGCAATCATATTTGATATGTGTTTCTATTTGAATTAATTTTTTCAAATTATGTGTAAGCTTTTTTTAAATTTATCTTGACCAATGGTAAAAGTGTTCTTTGATATTGTTTTGCTTTGAATTTTATTATTGTGGTATTTTTATGCCCAAAAAATAAAACTTTATTACAGCCTATTTATGACAACCAATAATTTTTCAATCTTGTTGATACTAATCTTCAACAAAATATTTGTGATTCTGTTGTTGATTTTTTTTGTTGTATTATAGGAGTCATTTTGAATGATTTTACACAGTATTTTTTTGTAAAGAATTCTGTTTATTTAACAAGTTGTTGATTAAATTAAAATTGTTGCTATTAAATTTTTTATTCTAAAATTAAAATATTCAATAATTTTCAAACTTTGATAGATTTGTAAGCAAGAAAAATTCAATGCAAAAAAGTGAAATGAACCTAATTTTCCTTGCATGCTGTTAGATTTTTGTCAAGCTAACTTTGATTTTTTCATGATTGAAATGCTTCAACTTGTGAACAAAAACTTGTATGTTGTAAATATTTCTTTGCCAAATTTGACATGCATGTTACAAAATGATAAAAAATGCTCAAATAATCAATATTAACTCTTTTATGAATGCACATGGATTGTTTTTTGAGGTATTTTATATAATTTGAGTCTTATGTATAAGGAGGTCATGATGCATGAAATGGAAAAAAAACCTAGACTTCAAATCAAATTTCATATGTCAAATTTCAAATATTTTTCTTCAATGTTTAATTTTTATATTTTAAATAAAAAATAAAATTATCTTTAATTATTTATTTCATTTTAATATCTGGATCCTAAAATCAAATTATACTTTCTTTTCTATTTAATTTGATAATTAGAAAATATAACCCACGTTTTTTCAGAATCATGAATTTTCATAATAGGTAATTAAATTTAGTTATTGCTTTCAAACTTGACTGTATCATTTGAAAGTGATTTATTTGCATTAGCTCATTGTAAAATTTTTTTGGCCAAATGTTTTAGACTATCAACTTGTGTGTTCAGCAGAAGATTCATGATAATTTTCATTATAATAGACTACATCTTCTTGTAGGATTTATTGTTGAAATATCAAGATGATGAACTTGATGTATTTCTCATCACTATCGACTTAGGATTTGATATATGATATTTATTGTCAAGTTACATATTGTCCATGGATGAGTTTGAATATTTAATTTTGCGGCTCATAAATACTTCACT